AATCTGCTTCTTTCTCTTTTTTTTTAAGATTTTTTTTTTATTTATGTGTACAGTATTCTGTCTGCATGTATGCCTCCAGGCCAGAAGAGGGCACAAGATCTCATTACGGACGGTTGTGACCCACCATGTGGTTGCTGGGAATTGAACTCAGGACCCCTGGAAGAGCAGTCAGTGCTCTTAACCTCTGAGCCATCTCTCCAGCCCCAATCTGCTTCTTTTTATTAATAGGGCTATTGAGATGGCTTGGCAGGTAAAGATGTCTGCTGCCAAGTCTAATGATGTGTGTTCAGTCTTGGCACTACACGGTAGAAAAAGTAGGACCAACTTCTGAAAGTTGTTCTCTGACATTCATATACATGCTGTGGCATGCATCACACACACGCACGCACGCACGCACGCACGCACGCACGCACGCACGCACGCACAAGGTTTTTTTTTCTTTTTTAGACAGAGTCTCAATGTGTATTCCCAACTGGCCTGGAATTTGCTATGTAGACCAAGCTGACCTTGAACTCTAGGGATCTACCTGATCAGAATTCTACAGCACTTGGGAGGCAGAGGCAGGAGGATCTCTGTGAGTTCGAGGCCAGCCTGGTCTACAGAGCAAGTTCCAGGACAGGCTCCAAAATAATACAGAGAAACCCTGTCTCAAAAAAAGAAAACAAAACAGAATTCCACTATACAGTTATCATTTTATTGCCATTATTCCCAAGAAATAAATCAGAAAATTGCTAACACCTTCAAAATAGCTGACATCATTTTCTTATGTTAATGTTTTCCACAAATCTTAGGAGTACAAATCTCAGAACACTATCCAGATTCTAAATCCATAGGTAAGAAAAGGAAAACAATCTAATTTATTTCAAGTTTGCATACATTTATTTATTCATCTACTCAAGTTTGTGTATTTTATGACATTTGCTGAATGCCAACACAGGAAACAATTTTGGGGGGGGGGCTTTGGGGGCAGGGTTTTGGAGCCTCTCCTTGAACTAGCTCTTGTAGACCAGGCTGGTCTCAAACTCACAGAGATCTTCCTGCCTCTGCCTCCCAAGGGCTGGGATTAAAGGTGTGTGCCAACAATGCCTGGCCAACAAATTAATTTTAAAAAATCAGGTTATTGTTCTTGTGTATTTTGCATTGGACAATTAAGCTAATGCACCCAAAATTAAGATATATACTCTGTAAGGTTATGAGAATCAAATATAATTTCTATATTCAAAGTGATTAGCTAGTAACACATAGTCACAGCAAATAATAAATGTTACATAATTTTATTGTGCTTGGGTAGGAACCTGATTAGCCTCTGTGGTTATAAAAATGCATTCCACAAGTTATTTCTTAAACTCAGTGAGTTTGAGGCCAGCCTGGGCTACAGGTGAATTCCAGGACAGCCAGGACTGTTGCACAGAGAAACCCTGTCTTGAAAAACCAAAACAAACAAAAACCCTTAAAGAGGGAGATGGGTATCTAAACTACTGTCAAGTGCCAAGGAGGGCCTTGACAGTGAGGCACAGAGATACTCAATGCTCAGAAAGGTCTTGTCTGCACTGAGCCTCGGGGGAATAAATTTTGTCATGTGATTCAGTCGTTATGGCAACTAGAGTAAAGGATGGATTTACGATGAGAGAAATGGATGGGAAATTGAGTCAAATACCATCTCCAGAAAGGATAAAGGTCAGAGTATTGACAGAGGGCCCACAATTCTCTGTTCTTATGATTTCAATTGACTTGAAAGACTTCTGCTTATACAGATCAAAAATTTAGTTGGCGGGGCTGGAGAGATGGCTCAGTGGTTAAGAGCATTGACTGCTCTTCCAGAGGATCCTGGTTCAATTCCCAGCACCCACATGGCAGCTCACAACCGTCCATAACTCCTGTTCCAGGGGATCCAATACCCTCATAAAGACATTCATTCATGCAGGCAAAACACCAATGTACATAAAATAAAATAAATAATTAAAAAAACTTAGTCGGCTTCCTATTTCACTTGTGGGAATACCATGATTAATGTAGGTCTATGGTGAAGGCCATAATCCTCCATGAACTCAGTCTTCTGATTGTAGTCCAACTTATTACCACATCTACAGCTATCATGCTTCTGTTGAGTGTCTCCATTTGGTCCCTGCCACGCCAGGATTCATTTGTATTTTTTAGCTTTTCAAGTGAGTCACTGTATTGCCATTGTTATGTCTGGCCTACAATCAAGAAGCTCTTCAGTGATGCAGGGGCTTTTTGAAAATCTATGTATTTCTCAAAATACTGATGAAAGGTATGGCTTCTCAACTTTGCTAGTTTAAGTAGGTTCTTAGGATTTTTTTTTATGTGTATGTGTTTCACCTGCATGTATATACGTGCCCCACATGCATATTTGGTGCCAGAGGCCAGAAGAGGGCAAGAGATGGCTAGCAACTGTAGTTACAGACAATTGTGAGCCACCATGTGGGTACTGGGAATTGAACCTGGGTCCTCTGGACAGTCAACCAATGCTCTTAACTACCGAGCCATCTCTCTAGCCCTGGGTTTTGTTTGTTTTGAAACAGGGCTTTACTATGTAGCCATGGCTGTACTGGAACTGAGATCTGCCCACCTCTGCCAAGTGCTTTGACGTCCAGTCTGTTAATCTATATCGTTAATACCCATTCCCATAGCCTTTCCTATTTTATGAATTTACTGTTGTTGTTGTTGTTTGTTGTTATCTTTAAGACAATATCTCACTCTGTAAGTGCAGAATGATCTGGTATTATGCATATCTGGCTGGACTCACTTGTAGTGATCCTCCTGCCTCAGTCTCCACTGAAGTAGACACGAACCATAACAACATAAATGCATCTGGATATAAGTGCATCCATATGAGCATTTGTAACAAGAATAAGCAAAGAAAAAGAGGCTGTAAACTTGAGAGTGTTATACTTTTGTTTAAAAAGAAGAAAAGAGAAATTGCTGAGACAGACATATTGACTATAAGTTTATTATAAAGGCCCGGTAGAATGGGGAGACTAAGAGGAGGAACAGGGTAATGGCTGACCGCCATGGCCGGTCGCCATAGAGAGACAGAGCGGGGAAACAGAGAAAGGGGACAGAGAGCAGGAACAGGGGGAGAGAGAGACAGACAGACAGAGAGAGAGAGCGCGAGCGTAAAGGGGCAGAGAGAGAGAGAGAAAGGTGCAGGGGCCTATCTTTTAAAGGGGTCCTCTGCACCTGCGTGCAGACTTCTTTCCCATGGAACCTTGGGCTGACCAGGGTATTGCCTGAGTGGATTCCACCAGGTAACAGGGGCAGGCCAGCATAATGCCTGAACCTTTCAACTATGACTTAGGGCCTGGAATTTGCCAGCTTACAAGGCCATAAGATAACTGGGTACCAAGAATTCCCAGATGGCCACCCTCCCCAAGGGGCTCATGGAGGAGACAGATTGCCCCACTGGCCAATGTGTCAATAATTAACAATTAAGGGTCCCAATGAAACAAAGAGATAGCTACCATTTGCTCAAGCAAGATAAGCATATTCTGAGGTCTGCAGGTTTTACAACTGGTGGGTCAGGAGGCCATATGATTCCCAGCCCTCTCCTCAATACAAAGGGCCTCTTAGGAACCCATGACTCTGGTGACGCCCCTCCTTAAGCTTGTGGTTTTTGCCTTTAAAAACACCTGTGCCTGGGGGACAGGGGTGCTCTCTAGCCTTCATGCTGAGAGAGTCCGTTTGTACAAACGTCCACCTTTCATTAAAGCCTCTTGCTGTTTGCATCAAGTTTCCGCTTCCTCATGGTGATTGGGGTGGTCGAGGTCCTGGGAAAAGATTCTGGAGGCCTGAGCTTCCGGGGGTTCTTACACTAATTCTGCTAGTACCGTGAGAACACTTCAGTAGCTCTCCTGTAGTAAAGCACACCACAACCTTATAGACCATGTGTGTCATTACTATATGTCCAGAAGCAACCAGGAATGCTAGGAGTGAGTCCTGGAAAAAAAAATCAGCATTATCTTGCTTGCCAACTATCTCTGGGGAGAACATTAATTGCTCTGGACGTCACCTGCCTCTAGGGATCCGGAGGTCACTTCTGCAGGCAAACAAGTCTCAGACTTTAAAGAGCTCAACGTCCCCACTCTCCAGGTTTTTCCTCCAGACACAAGTGAAGGATTTAGAAATAGGGCAGAAAGGAGTGTTTCGGAAGATAAGTAAAGCAGGATGAGGTAAGATTTCTGTACCCATATGAATAGTTTGGTCGTTTTCAAGGCCCAGTCATTTTTCCCACTAATCACATCGTATTTGCGTTTTAAGGGTCTACAGAATTATAAATACCCAGCGTCATAACTGTTGTTTAATACTACACCCAGAAGAAGCCACAGTGATCAAGGGAACCTTGAAGAAGGGTGAAATACATCTTTACCTTCCTAAATGACAAACAGCTGAAAACAGCCACAAGATGGCTGACAAAGCGCTAAAGAAAACAGCGCAAGGGCGAAACCCCGTCTCCTGGAGGAAGTCGCACAAACGCGGGCCCTTCCGCACTATTGGCTGGACGTCCTGTCTTTTCCCTTTGCCATTGGCTACCTGTTCCTTCTCAAGTCAAAACAGCCAATCGCCGTTTCCCTGAACAAAGCCCACCCTTCCGTGGATGGGGCGGAGCGTCCGTAAAGGCGCCCGGGCTCAGGGCGCATGCGCAGGCGCTCCGCACCGTGCCGGTTAGAAGCGGATCTCCTCGGGAGGCGGTGCCGTGGTCCATGAATATTGATTA